TCGCTTACTATACTATTGAAGGTGTAAATTTCACAGTAAGATTTTTCGGTGCTGAGGCAAATCAGAGAAGCGAAAAATCCCTTTTTGAGTTGATAAAAAACATAGTTCACTAATGAACCAGTTATTGAACTGGTAAGATAGACCGCAACTCTTTCAACTGAAGCGATTTATTGAGTCGTGAAATTTTTCCCATGAGGGATTCGAACAAAATGTATGCTACAAGAAAGTTTGTCATAATGTCACTCAGCGTGGTAATATTACTGGCCTAAAACAAGATTATTACCTCTTCGAAATTATAATAATATTTGAATCGATTACCAGGTCACTCGGAAATAATACCGGAAACATTCACAAAAAAATGACGTAAGGTGAACATTTCCGTAAGAAAAGTCGCAGTCGTCCCATCCAACCCTTGCGCACTAGGATGCCACAAAATATTCAATATGGCTGACGTTTCCTTGCGCAAATCGTGAGGGAGCGCTGTGGTCTTTATCAACGCAAAAAAATGTAAATATAAACACTCCGTTGATGAAATCCCACCTCGTCATGCCTGTTCTGTCGGAAAAGCGTCGGCCATGTCGAATACGGCGTGGCATCCTAGTGCGCAAGGGTTTGATGGAACGCCTCATCTTACGAACACCTGCCATGGTATCGTTTTTGAATCGGGAAGGTTAGAAAAACGCGTATTTCTCACGCAGATTGTGAAGTCTAAAGTGTATTGCAGCCATAACCAATGCGCTCATCGTGATTTTTGAGCCATTCCATGTAAAAAAGAAATCTTTTTTTTTACTCTAGCGGAAGTTTACACCAGGCCTATTTCATTGACTGTATGAATTTATTTGCATTGTGTAAAAATATCGGAAATATTTGTAAAATAATTCACTTTCAAGACGTGCCATGCGTGAAAAACACTTTTTCAAAAAAATAAATAATGCTAAAAAAAAGAAAGCAATTTAAGCTCATTTTTCCTCAATGGTCGTGTGCTGTCACCTTATTAGGCTTTATAATAAAGGTTTCTAGGCCTTTCCTATCCCCCCTGTTATTTTAAAATATGGGCAAGAGATCCACGAGTAACACAACAAATCGGTCGGCGGATGACCCTCAGCCGTGACCGCAGGATTAAATAATAAAACGAGACCCTTGATCGTCATCGGCCGCACGTGGCCCGGCGGAAGTGGTCGTTTTGGCTCATGTGTTGCGGGTGGCCCGAAATTAAAAATCGGGCGCGGGGAGCCGCGGGAATAATAAGACGGGTAATGAAACGAGGAACAAAACAGTTTGCATGTCAAACAGAGCTTATTTCTCCGGTCATGGTCCCGCGGTGTCCTGCTTGCGTGTTCACTCGTCTCGCTGTCTAATAATTGTCTGAGCTTGATGAGTTGGTCTCGCTTTTATGATTGTTTTTAAAAGTGCTTCATGGAGTGCATTGGAAATCACGTTGTGGAAACGAGTTTGCTGAACTTTTATGCTCTTCAGAAATACCCCTGAAATTGACGCGCTTATACGTTGTTGTTGGTATTCCATAAGGAATCATTCAATCCACGAGGATAACTTTTCCTAAAATTTAAACAAAATTCAATTTACTAGAAGTGCCCCCCAGCCGCTACTCGGTGTAGCTCCTTTGAACGGAGCTTTGCGCCCCCAGAAAACTGCTTCCTGGGTCATATTTCAAAATTAAAAGAGCGCGCTCATATTAAAATAGGTGAATAGGTGAATAGGTGAATAGGGGGTATTAAAATTTGACGATAGCCGCTAAAATCATGGGCATCGACCGAGTGGGTGTGTGGAATGAAAACGAATGATGTCGAAAAAGAACATTTTTATCGTTGAAATTCAAAACTTTGCGGTTTTGTTTCTCGTGATAATATACATTTTTTATTGCAATTCAAAAATTAAGGGAGGGAAAGTGGGCTCATCTGGAAGGTATTGCTTTTTGATAGCCACAAAGAAAATTGGATTCGGCCCCGTAGATCTCTAGAACGAACAATGACAAAATTAATAATTTTGGTAGTCAGAGAGCTCATATGCACATAATAAAAAAAAAATCAATTGAATTACTACTAGCCCCACGGCATTTATTTTTTTCGAAATAGAAAAAGTTTTACGAGGGATTCTGAAACGGTGAAACTGAGAGGTGGCTATCGCGAAATAAGGATGGCGGTGATACACATACCTTAACAGTTGGAGCGGCGCGGCGCGGTGAGGCCTGTTGTTTGGAAAATAAGTCGATACCAGTTCGCCTTCAAATTTGGGGATGCAACCCAACCCCACACAGAAGTTAGTTAAGTTGCATCCACCAAATGGCTGTATTCTGAATGTTGCCACGTATCCCAAGCACCTGTTACTTGCATGTGAGGAACTATCAACAAATTAGGAAGAACGCCGCATCAATATTCGAATGTTGCCAAACGTCTCTCGATAAAGTACTACTTTTAAGGAATGTTATAAATATTTTTCCATAAGAAATTCAGATGATCTCGATCAAATTTCAAACAAAATTCTCTGAAAATTGGAAGAAATTATTCAAACATCATGACTATAATATTAACTCTCATTTTATGACAATTGTGATCATTCTGACCATTTCGTTGAATGTGTGTTTAGACTATCTCAGTGGCCACAACTCTCTGCAGTATATCTAGGACCAGGAATTGATAATAATTATAACGAACCCGCTCTGAAGAGCAAAGGTTGATGTCCGAGAAGATCGCTCCGCTAACAGATTACTTTTGCCATTTTACCTGTGTTATCATTAACGACTAAAGTGCATAATTTTGGCATTCAATGCGTCTCTCTAAAACTCTGCGAATTGTGAAAAAATCGGTCAAGGTCGCTCCGACAGCTCGAAATTAGTTTCCTCTGACATTCAAGTTTGGCGACTGACCCGGAAAAGTTTGCGGCTGAAACTATTTTCGAGAGGTGTATGCAATATAGCTTTGTATCTTTCTTTTTTCATGAATGAGTCAGGTAGGTGTTAACCTATATGGTGGTGGGCTAACATACATTATAATTCGCAGATTATTTCATTTTGAATTTCTGTTATTATAAAAGAACATCCGCGACAAATCTCACATGCACGCAGATATATTTTAAGTGACAGATGTTTAAAACAGCGTAAATGACGAACGGAGTTATTAATAAAGAGGAGTGGGAGTAAAATTTTGAAAAAAATATTCCTTGAGGTTTTCTAATGTATCCGGTTTCTGATTCGTCTTTGCACTTGAGTTTGGAATTGAGTTCTTGCTGAGACATGGGCAATAGTTTTTTTCAATCTTTATGTTATCATTTCTCTTGTTTAGGTCGTTTTTGCGAGTATAAGCGGTGGTTCTCTGATCTTGGAGAGAGCCATTTGCTCTATCCAGTCCTAGAAAAGTCTAAACTAATTACATTTCTCATCAGCATTCTGCTTCAGATTGATTGAATAAATAGCTTGTTTCTGAAAGTGCTTAACTCTTAGGATTAAAATAACAATACAAAGAATGGAACATAAACTGTATTTTGCCGAAAAATTCCGGAGAATAGAACATTTTTGCGGCGCATGTTATTCGGTCCCTAAAATGAGCTACGTAGTCAAAAATATATGAAACTTTTCAGTCCATTAATAGTCCATTATTAGTTCAATGTGAACTTTATCAACCCTTAAGGTCGGGCTTTTTTCGAAAATAACCTAAAAATTGTGCCTATTTTTTCAATGTGAAATAGGGGGAGAATTGGGAAAAAATAAATAAAATAAAATATAAAAGGTATGTAAAACCCTAAATTACTTGTCTGGACGTTTTTTACTATTTCCGTCCAGTTGAATGGTTTTCAAAGGCTATACTACAAAGCACAAATACATTAAAAACTACCATTTACCATGTATTGGCACAAATCTTACGATTTTACTTTGCAGTTGAAAGTTTAAAATTCTCTTTTTATCCTGCTCTTCCCTTAGCTCATGATACCTGATATCTATAGTTATCAAAATTACCTGTAAAGACGTTAATAGCCTGAGTCGCTGAATGTCTCAAAATTATAATAACTAACTAACTAACTATTTTCTTTTACACCCAAAATGTATGTGCTCTCTTTTCTTGACACCTCAAAAATTCAGAATTGTATGTCCAGACTTACTTCAGGTGCCTGATAGCCATTGGATGCTTAGATGCAATACTACTACTACTACTACCGCGACCACTTTTACTACTACAACTACCACTTTTACTTCTACAACTACTATAGAGAGACACACAGATAAAAAAGATGATCATAGATGTGAACACTTAGATATTTCGTAAAGCCCGCCCGTAGTTACACTTATCCTCACCGATCAGCTGTTTAAACAAAAAGCACCGTGCTACCGTGTAACGAAAGAAAGCCGTAAGTGAAATTCCTTCATGAGCCACCGTTAGTGCATGCTCTCGTGTGTTTTAAAGTCCATCCTAGAATGCACTTACGGCTTTCTTCCATACCACGGCAGCGTGCTGCACCGCAGGAGGGTAGGAGGCAGCTTGCGAAGGTCAGTGATGGCTGCATCGCTGCCGAACCATAATCAAATTCCTGAAGCTACAAGTAGTGTCAGAACCATTTTAACTCAGATGGATTATTATTTTTAAAAAAAGATAATAAAACAAATTCACTCGATTTTAGGTTCAGCCCTAGTGCAATTTTGATCTTCATCGAAACTTAAATAAATTCCAAACAACCAAACAAGAAATAACCGCTGCAAATAGAAAATAAACCAGCGAACAGCGGCAGCTCTGATGTGCTGGCAGGATGTACACGATTGCCAAGTGGGACTCAGTTATTCTTCCGTCACTTGAATGATTGCTTGATTTATTACTTTGATAGGAAGAAAGATATAACAAGTGCGGGTGTGTGTCGTTGTTATCAACCCGCATACTCTAACGAGCACTACGATGTCATTCGTCTTGCAATACTTCAAGGGGGGGACATAATTCGGATATAAACATAAATTCGGCAGCGGCAATAGGCCCGCCTTCCAGCTGCAAACCAGTTCCACTGCCGCGTCTCCCCAGTGCCGTACGAGGTCCCCTCTCGTACCGTTTTCTCTCCAAATATCAGTGGTCCTGTCCTAACCTTAAAAATTGATAACGCGATAACGCAGGACAACGCGATTTTAAACGCGAGTAAAGCGATTTAGTAACTGATCTCGTGTGTAAAGTGCGAAGAATTCGAGTTAACTGTGCTCGTCCGTGCAACAAACGTGTTACGTAACCTAATCAGTGCGCGCTAAAGCGTTCGACCGCAAGGAACTCACACCGCGAACAGATCGCTGAGGATCAAATGTCGCGGTAACGCGGTAATGGTTACTTTTAAGTTATGCGGGGTTGTTAGACGAGCACTAAAGGCTGTTTTTGGGGGTGTGAAAATTTCGGAGACTTGAAGGAGGCGCTACGGACTCACCAAAATGACGCAAGCTTCAGACGAGACGGAGAAGTTGGTCGAAAGTCCCAGCACTACCGCTGTTTATCGACAATCCTTGGCTGCTTTGACATGTAAGTTGGGAATTTTTATCAGTGTTTTGGGTTTTGGAAGGATGCAGGTCGTGGGGCACGTCGCGGTTACGTAAAGCCGCATTTGAGAGATGCAAATGCGGCTTTAAGATGTTACGTAAACGCTCTTTTCAGCCAAGCCCTGGGGCAGGTCTTGAAAATTCTGGTCACCCTGATCAGAGGCCTTCTACATTAAACTAGTTAGTCACATAACCAGTGTTATGTTCGAGGAGAACAGGGCCATGGAATTCCCTGAGAGTGCAGAGCTCACTGTGGTCAGGGCGTCTAATTGGACTACATTTTGCAATTCAGAACTACAATTTCTCGCTCAGTTTAGAAACAACGTATGTGCCATTAGTTTTCCCATGTACATAAGTGTTTTTACAGATGAACCAGGCTTTTTAGTTTCGAATTGCAAAATGTAGTCCAATTCTTCGTGAAAAATACACAAAATATGAAAATTTGAAAAATTATATAATCATTATTATTATTATTTTTACTTTAATTATTATTGAAATTTTAGGGGAATATATCATGAAATTTTGAAGCTTTATGTAAGATATCAACTGCTGAATAACTTATCAACCAGCCTCTAAAAATTAGTGTAATGTTGTTTGGTAATATTTTCCAAGCATTACATACTCATCTATGTTCCTCATATTTTACTTTGAGGGAAAAATTACAGTGGGAAAAAGGATTCCACTTCACTTGGTGTTCTGAGTGCATTGTAACAGCAAAGAATGGAAATTATAAACCCTGGTAATTTTTTCTTAAAATATCCATGAACATTTTGTAAACATTCCACCATGGTCGTTGGCATTGCGTTTATTTAATAGTAGAAGGAAGTCATTTTTTCTATTTTTCGTAAAACGCTGCCAAGTTGTCAACCATGATGTTACTTCTACCTAATTTTCACGCATTTGTTTGCGTGGAAATGCTCAGAATGTAAAAGGAGGGGTATTGAAAAGGGCCATTTTCGGGACCACATGAGCAGAATTTTCGCAACTCTACGATTTCTTGCTCATTGAAGGTCTACATTTTACGAAAGTAGCATGAGTTATCGTTTCTCGACGGAAGAACGCAACTCCATTCCAAGGTTGCAAAATCGATTCAAACAATGTAATTGCTTACACGAATGCACCTGTGAAAATGTTGTCACGTAGGTATATGTCTGATTTTTGCATGAAATTTAAAGAAAAATCATTGAAGTTTACAGTTAGGAATGTACAAGATTCTCCCGGTAAAAACGCAATTTATGAGGGGAAATTTGGAAACATTGAAATGTAATTACGCTCTTTCGTGGAGGAAACGATGAATTGGGTCATGTCTGATCTGTTTTTAGGTTTAATACTGGCTTAAACATTGGCCTAGCTGAAAGCCGATATGGCGAAAAATGCCGATTTTTCGGTATTCGAGTGCAAGCCTACAAAACCCGCGATATGCGCCCAAATCGGGCTCCAGGTCAATGATTAGGAGACAAAAATGACATGTTAAACACAAAAATGACCAAATTATCATGCATTCTGTAAAATAAAGATCTTCAATGCGCGAAGAATCGTCGAGTTGAGGAAAATAAGGGTGAGCCCAAAAACGGCCCTTATTATTGATACCCCTCCTTCACATTTCTGCCATCACGGCGCAGTATGTTAAATAATTAGCTCCCGTTTAAAATGAATAAATGAATCTAGGAGTAAATAAGCTTTATGGGTGTTGTAGATTATTTGGTGTAATTTTTTCACGGGATTTATGGGGAATTCACTGTTTGTAGGAGGTCAGTGGCCTTAAAAAGCTGCTAAAAGCTGGTCAAATTTTTTCCAAAGTAATCTGGATGCAGGACTGTCAAGAATGCAAATTGTCATGCATGCAAATACCGCATCCCCCCCCCCCTATCCTCGTCAATAAGTATAGAGGGCGGAGAGGGGGAAGGACTGAGGAATATGAAGTCTATGGGTGCATCTTCTGGGGAAACGACTCTAGTGCGAGGCTGCTAGATCTAGAATGGCATCACCTAGATTTTGGTTATAGTTATACGAACCAACCCCTATCCTCAAAGGACTAAACAATGATCCGGGCAGGACCAGTGCCTATCCAAATTCTAGGTGATGTCATTTGACTCACCTCTCTAAGCATGTCGAGAATTGGGCTATTTTCTCGTGCTTAGTGCCGATGATTTTCCCGAAAATAAGGACTGTAGCCCCAATTAAGAGCAGACTTTGAATAAACTTCATATTCTCATTTTGTCCCCAAGAACAAATTAATGAAGTCTAGGGATTTAACCCTATGTATTTAATGAGGGCTTGCCGTCGCGGATTTGTTTAATAACTTCCGCGAGGAGAGAAAATACGCGAAATGTCTTGCATATCTCTTTTTTTCTGAAGAGTATTTCAATTCTAGGGGTCATTTCCATCCTACACCCATACTCCGTCCTTTATCCAAAATAGAACCCAATCTGACAATCTCGAGTTCATTTACCTGCACGTGAGTCGTTTGGTTTCGCCAGTGGACGTGCGACTTCATAGTTTGCGATGCGCGGAAGCTACGCACTGCACCGTGTCTACCTTTATCAGGGTAATGAATGGCTAATTGTTAGCCCACTTCCGGCGCCATGTTGTCAAATATAACCCGAAAATTTGACCAACAGCCTTGAGCCTTGAGTATTTAAGCGCCTGGCCTGAGAGAGCAACGAGGCTTTGACGTAGTAAAACGCAGTCTGCAGAATCGAAATGCACACACGTATCAATGTTGCACAGTCCAGAGTTTAAACAAAGCGAACGGAAACCTGATTTAATGCAAGTAATCTAATTCACACAATTGCTTCAGAAAAAGTAGAGTTTCTCTAAAGTAAGAGTATGGACTCTAAAGAATCCAATTCTAATTGATTCTGCCATCATAAGCTGAGAGAGATTAACACATTGAAAATAAGAATACTATGAAAAACGCGGAACGATGAAAGAAATTTAAGACAAATATTCATCAAAAAGCCCGTATTTTTGTTTTAGGTCAATTTGTAATTTTTCGAAGTATATCATTCCACGGTTGTAAAATCGATATTATTATCAGGAGAAAAGAAAAAATCTTCCTATTTCTCTGGTCAACAAGCAAATTACTTGCTCACTTTAATACACGTGATAGCTCGTGTTTTCACTGACTGCATAGCTCACGTCGAATAATTTTGAAAAATTGCTTTTCCGTCTCCCATATAAATTCAGACGTGTCGAAATTTTCCCAAGGGAGCCTTCCGGACCCTCAAAGAGAGCCAAAGGAGTCCCTACAGATCTCCTCAGTGGGGTGTTTTTCTGCATCCCTAGAGCCCCCTTGATGAGCTGCCCCTCTGTGCCCCACCCCCACATATAACTCCTAGGTCTGTTTATAACGACAACATTGATAACTGCCATGAATCAATGATTCAAGCTTTGATTTACATACCCAATTACGTCGTGTTATCGGTTGAAATTCGTCACTCGAGATCAGATAAGTTCATCCAGGGTTGCATTGCGAGATGTAAGGAATGTTCACTTATTTTCATTTGTTTTGGTGATGATATAATGTTTTGTTTACTATGATCTGACATTTATTCAATGGTGCCGAATCGCTGTCTAAATTGCTCCCAATGTTAATGGTAGGTGTGAATATTATGGTAAACAATAGATGTAAGGTTCCGCAACGTTGGAAACAATGCTACTTCCCGTTCCCATATTTTCAGCTGTTTGATATATGTATTTGAGGAAAAGGAGATTTATGAGCAAGATTGTCTCTGAGCTCGAGCTTTACTCGGAGCGATGGAACAGTCATGTCCTACTACACGAAACCCAACTGGCAATGCTTTTTCGTGGAGTGATTAAAATACATTAGACCTCAAATGGCCTACGTAATATTTTGTAAACATAACGCGGTTCGTTAGTTCCATCGGTTTTCAAAATGTGAAGTTTATGTTCTATGTTCTGCATGCCTAGGCCAGAGACATTGTTTAATCCATGAATATTAATATTTCAAAGAATCGTTGAATCCTCCATATAAGGTCACTTCTCTCATTTTATAGTCGATAATCGTCATCGTTATTAAACAAGATAAACTTGAGATTTTCAATATTTCACCGTGAAAATATTCCTTAAGTGATAAACGACTTTCCAACTAGACTCGTTGACACAAAAAGTGTACTCTAAAGTCAGTTAATATTTCAACAGACCTGACATTTCCGCACATACAGCCTACGATCGCGCATTTGTTACCATTTAGAAAATATCTTAATATTCCCTCATAATTTTTCGAGTAAATTCAAATCTGAATAAAATGCCAGGCGATGAAAGTGGTGACGAGTCCTCGTGTTTTGGTCGATTGCCTGTAATTAAATATCAAGGCTATAATCGATCTTTGGTTGGTATTCTGAACCAGACTGTGTCCTCAGCAGTATGTGAGTACTCCTCAATTTTTCAGAAATTGAAAATATATTGCGTAAATTTTTGAATTATGGGTAGGAGCTATCGCGTGGAAATGTTACGTCATCATCTCAACTATTACATAATTTAAAATCCTCGGGTATCGAGCAAACTAAGACTCTTTGAAGAGATTTTCTGTCTTTGCAACAAATGATTAAAAAAAGGCTACGAATCCAATAAAATCCGGCATATTGCTAAAATCAACTTGAACTTGGGCCTCAAATTCAAATAAAAACCGGATCGATGGCGAGCACCCGTCCATTTGTGCAAACAATGATTCAAATCAACATTGATTAATAGAACAAGTGATTCGAATCGACAGTGCTGAACTTACCTTTGATTAATGAAACTCTCCTGAACATTTTTGATGATTTACGTTCTAACAAAGAGAACAGAGATAACACCGTTTTGAAGCTTCAGAGTTGTAACTGCACCAAAGTTTTTCAGAAAGTTTTCAACAGACTTACTAATTTTAACCACTTGCTGCCTGACAATAAAATGTCGTCAGAAATGCGTAGTTCATTGAAGATTTTTATGTTTGTTTTTATCCCTATGATATACATATGTATGAAACTATTTCACGTGGGTGTGGTCTCAGGGTTGATAAATTGAAGGCGTAATCTGAATTATAAATCACAAAATTTCTGTTTCTTTACGACCTATAGAACGGGCTTTTGCGGGGGCTCAAAAACGGCAAAAAAAAACAGAAGAAGGGAAGTAAAAATGGAGATGAAGATGATAGGCATTGAGATGGGGGAAACAGTCGCCTTTTTTCAATCGTATCGCCCTTTGAAGCTTATTTTTTAAAGAAGGAGACGTCTTTGTGATGGCGAGTCTCTCTTCGAAAAGGAGGCGCTCTTGTTTGCGCCTCTCCGTAACAGTAGTTGCATCATTTCAAAATCCGATGAACAGTGTAGTAGCATAAGTTAGTAAGTACTGCGGTTGCTGTCGACGCATTACATACGCCTTCATTGGGAAAAGATACTGCCTAGCGTGGCCTCAAAGGCTGAATAGTTGCATCATTTAAAAACCCGATGAACAGTATACCAGCAGAGATTATTAAGTACTGCGGTTGCTGTCGATGCACAACAAACGCCTTCATTGGGAAAAGATACTGCCCAGCGTGGCTTCAAAGGCTGAATAGTTTCATTATTTAAAAATCCGATGAACAGTATACCAACGGAGATTAATAAGTAATGTGGTTGCTTTAGATAATTTTTTGAAGAAGGCAGACGACGTAAGTAAGCTAAGGCACTCATTGTTAAAAGATACTTCCTAATGTGGCGGTAGCTATTTCCAACTAAATTTTTCTCTTGGTAGCAGCTTTTAGCCCCGCTTCCGCCAGTAGACGTCCGTCGTACGCATCAAAGGAGCAACGCGAAGTGTCGAATGATTGCCTAGCACAGATATTTCACATGATTACCACTTACTGCTCTAAGCTTCAAGTATGCAACCTTGAATCTTCGAAGTTTCTTCCACTTAAATGACAATTATTACCTCACGGCACAAGCTTTCGGTACTGCAAACTATTAATTTCTGTATCTATTTAGAGCCAACGCACGCATGTTTTTCTCATTTTAATTTTTTGGTGAGAATAATATACTTGCAGTGAAGTTTTTGCTCCCATTCACTCTGCTGTCCTTCTTTTGGATCAGTTGTTCACTGGAAAAAAAGTTGCTTGGATCTAGAGTCCAGACTCATAATAACATTGACAAGAAAAAATACCCTTGATTCAATCTGATTTTTCCTTGAATTGAAGAGCCGAGCCTCTTGATTTAAGCGGATTTCCTCTTGATTCAAGCAAAAATCCGATTGAATCAAGAGTATTTTTTCTTGTCAATATTTTTAAGGGTCTGGACTCTAGATCCAATCGACTTTTTTTCCAGTCATTTGTTTTTTTGTTTCTTTTTTTTTTTAAATAATCCAACAAGCTTTTGATCCTTTTCTCGTTCTTTTATGTCGGCAGGTTGCCTCTCGTGCTTCACGATCGGGCTTTCCATCGGTTGGTCCTCGCCGGCCTTCCACAAGATCCAGGCCTCGGAGACGAGCTTCACCCTTGACGGGTTCCAGCAGTCCCTGGTGGTGAGCGCCCTCAACATCGGCATCATGTTCGGGGCCATCCCGACGAGCTTCCTCATGGACCAGCTCGGTCGGAAGAAGACCCTCCTCTACACGGCCACCCTCTCCCTCCTCCACTGGGTCCTCATCGCCGGGGCCATGAACGCCAAGTTCCTCTACTTCGGGCGCTTCCTCGGCGGGATCTACTCGGGCATCGCGACGGCCATCGCCCCGGTCTACCTGGCCGAGAACCTCGAGCCGCAGATCCGCGGCTCCATCGGCACCCTCTTCTCGATCCTCCTCTACGGCGGGATCCTCTGCACCTACATCATCGGCCCCATCGCCAGCTACATGAACCTCTCCCTCTTCTGCGGGGCCTTCACCGTCCTCTTCATGGTCACCTTCGCCCCCATGCCGGAGACCCCTTACTTCTGCATCATCAAGAACCGCCGCGAGGACGCCAGGAAGTCCTTGGAGTGGCTCCGAGGCCATTCCAACGTCGACGCCGAGCTCAAGCAAATCGAAGCCTACGTCACGTCGGAACAGGAGCACGTCACCGGGTGGAGCGACATCTTCACGGACCCGAATTTGCGACGACCGTTCCTGGTCTGCGTCGCGCTGTGTTTCATACAGAAATCCACCGGGTTCTTCACGATCATCTCCTATCAATCGGTGATCCTGCCCGGTATGGTAGGACCCTTGACGTCCGAGGGTGCCACCTTAGTCATCGGCGTGGTACTCTTAATGGCAGGAACAGCCTCCGCATTCCTCATCGACAAAGTCGGTCGGATCATCCTACTTAACCTCTCCTACGTGGGTGTCGTGTTGTCCATGATCCCTACCGCGCTATGGTTCTACTTCAACAAGACGGATGAGCCGGCGGATGTCGAGTATGTGAACCACTACAACTGGGTTCCTTTCTTCGGATTCATCGCTTTCATAGTGTGCCACGCCATGGGACTTGGCCCGGTCGGGAATATCTATCCCGGCGAGGTATTGCCGTTGTCGATCAAGGCGGATGCTATGGCTTTGGTTGTGTCGTTGGCTGCACTCTTCACGGCGATTAACACGGAGATTTTCGCATTTTTCAACGCTTACATCGGGATGTACGCCAACTATTTCTCGTATGCGGTGGTTGCTGTGGTAGGGGCGCTCTTTACACGCTTGTACATCGTTGAGACGAAGGGTAAATCTCTGCAGGCCATCCAGGAGGAGTTCATCGAGCAGGCTAAGATGCCGAGGATGAAGGGTGACTATTTCGTCTTGTGATAATGTGTGTGTTTGCTACGTAGGGATAAGGGGTTTTTTCACTGGGGGAAAAGCAAAGTTTCACTGGAGCAATAGAAAAATTATTAGCTCAGTTCCTGAAAACCTTTGCATTTGACGTAAGGATTACATAGAATGGGGTATGTCACGTACTGTAATATACAAGACAAGCTGCAGCTCATCAGTTCCAACTTGTGATGACGTAGGAATATTTCTAGCTCCCCGAATTCAAGTAAAAGCAACCCGAAACTCCCCATGTTTACAATCGTTTTCCATTTAAATCCTTGTTTACTGTGGAATTAGCACCAAATTCCTTGCGATCAAATTATTCATTAAGTAGCTCAATTATGGGTTTTGGTGCTCAATTCATTAGACCTATGAAAAACTGCTAATTCTTTAGACCCCGCACCTTACGACATTTGATTCTTAGTGCTCAAACGAAATTTCATCCTCTCTTGTTTTCAATTCTTATTTTTCACCCTTCAAAGCAAGTCAAAAAGTTGTACCTCAACACCTGTATACAGAGCTTCAGTCATACATAAGATTTACAGGCCTTACACAATTAAGTTTCCTGAAATTTCCGACTTTTGGATCCCGAAATCGGTTGTTTGGTAAATGACTAGGAGCTTTGACAAAAAAGTAATGAATGTAAAATAATAACTTGGCAGTCAATCAGTATTAATAATGCGATCAAAGAAATGAAACTGTCCTCTTAGCTGGTTAAATGATAACCAATATGTGACAATTTTAAAACAGGGAATGGAAATGGTATTTTTATGTAATAAACGTGGATTTTTCTGGTTTTTCAGAGGGACCCAAAAAACCATTCCCTGCTGGCCCGAACCCAAATTTTCATTAGATACTTGCATGCGACCTCAGAATCATTCGAATCATCGAAAGTTTACCAGCTTTGGGCTCATTTCTCCGTCCAAAATCACTCTGGATACTATTTTCATAGTTATAATGTGTTAATTCTTAGTATTAATGAAAGAGTAAAAGAATCGACTGGGAATGACCGTAAGTTATAAGCCGTGTTTCCGATTAAAATTGTTAGTCGTAGCTTTCATAAAAAAAGTTAGGGTCTCAAGCTCAAATTCTCATTTCTTTTCACTCATATGATGAAATGTGAGGCTAATCTATAATGTAAGCTCAAATCTTTAACGGTGCTGATTTATCAATTTGCCCATTTTTAGAATAGAAATACAATTTTCGCCTCGTTTGACGTAATGAAAATTCATTTTTGACACTGTCTATTTCCCCTCTCATTATTTGGTAATACGTTTAAATATTTTCATAAACATGTAAATTATCTTTTTCTTTTTACAACAAATATTGATCCAACTGCAGTTAAAAATTGTAGGAAGTTGCAAGAGAGATAATTCATACAACTAAACAAAAAACTAATGAAATAATTGAAAATGTAAAGGGGAATAGAATTAATTACTTATTGGACAATTTCCCTTTGATGGTACTAAGTAAAATAGAAGTGTCTTTCTCAAGTCACCAGTTAGTTTGACTTCATCAACCATGAACTTGATTTTTCGACAAGTACATACATATATACATTACCTTACATTTTTCCGTTTTATGAAAAAATTCGATTGCTGTGATATTATTTGTAGCTACGATGTTTATCTAAATTTCTCCTATGAGGAGTATATTCTGTTTCTTGGTCTGCCAAAATGACAGAGCTGCACAAGTATTTTGAGGATTTTTTTCTTTTTTTTAAATTTAGTATAAAATTACGCACAATTAGTCGTATACCTTTGAACACCGTTAACAAGTATTGCATAGAGTTTGCGACTTGCAAGAATTATATTCTATACCTTCGATGTGTAATTCTGAACAATGTGTCTAATTATATCAATTTTCTTGTCAAGAAAGTTTATGGGGTATTTTTTATTTTAATAACCTCTTCACCGATGTCCAACTTATTGATATTATTTCTCCTTAAATCAGCCCTTGTAAGAAGCAAGTCTGTGGCAAACTTTGCGGCATCAGAGAGCTGAAAATCTGGAGAAAAAGATCATACAAAGAACCCAAGTGCGTTCAAATGGAAAAACCCTCCGCCCATGTTTTCTGCGGTCTTTAAAGAAACCTCAGAAATTCCGTTGACGCCTCAACAAGTTCCTGAAATATCGAGGTTTCGAAAAGGTTACTTCAAAATGTAATTCGCATAGATATCCTCTCAGTGCTATGTTGTGTACGGGCAAAATATCAAGAATATTATCAAAGTTCTTACTAACAGACACTTTCAGCACTAAGATTGATAGTTAAGTCAAATGCAGTTCTATCGCATGAAATGATCACAACTATATCTCTAAAAAATATCAACTGTGAAATCCCAAACCACGTATCTTGGTTTGCAGCGTTGCAGATCTCCTGTAATACTGTTTTTTTTTTAAATAGAAAACTACCACATTGCGTCAATATTTCAAAACCTCCGTGATTTTTGTTCTCTATGCGGATAAAATTCTGTAGAAACTCCTAGGAATGATTGATTTCAAAATTGATTCCAAGGTTGATTTCAAAAATGTAAAATTTTAAAACATCGCAAACGAGATGCGTGGTGTCGGAATTTTACTGTTTTATAGATCAAACCATCTGACGTTTCTTAATTACCTCTTTGCGATAAAAAATAGTCAAGAAAAAAGAAATTAGGAAAGAAAAAATAATTAATCAGATAGTCTTCATACCCGCTTGAGTCCATGGAGGATTGAACCGAAAATGTTTGACTAATAGAAAACAATTTATAAGTTGCCATAAAATATTGAGTCATTTCAGAGATTACATCCTGGAATTTGTGGACATAACATTGTATTTATAGTATGGGCAACGTCTAGGTCTTGGGCACCGTCAACCGTGCTCGTGCTCGTGCTCGATAATCTATACCATCATTGTAGATTCCTCACAGTTGATTAATGTGAAAGTCAGCCCAATCAATGATTTTACCAATATCGCAAATTAATACAACCTATACGCAAAAATTGATAATTTTTGAAGCAATTCGATGAATATCGGAAGGGACATGTACATTCTTGATAGCCTTTCGTAGAAAAATGCGCATCTTCTTTCGAACATTTTTAGACATGGCTAAAAGCGTTGAACGCCGGTAACGGTGCCTACAAGAAGATAAATGTTCCATCTAGTATTTCACGAAAGAAGTCAAGTAAATTGAACTGACAATGAGATTCTCTTCACAACAGCTATTTACTCTCTCATTTATTTATGTTTTAAAATGAAAAAAAAAATTGAAAACATTAAAAATAAACATTACTTGCATCCTTGTTAAAAGGAATTGGACTTTCTCCGCTGAAAATCTTCAGAGGAAGCTCCTATTGATTCCATAAAAGAATTTTCAAGTACGCAAGACCCAAAAATTTCTCGAAACATACGCAGGTGGGTCTTTGCAATTCTCAGAGAGAGGGCTAACACTTCAGTAATATTATGGATTATGACTATATACCCTCTACAGTAATCATTACTCTATAATATAAGATGATAAGAATAACGCACGTACAACGTCTGAGACGCGAAGCGCCTCGTGGGGTTGGACCGCGAAGCGTTCAAGGAGCGCACCCCTTACTATATATTATTTCCGTTACCTATGAAATTGCCAGCTGACAAGGACGGATTTGAATTTCTTACACGCTGCCAACAACTCGGATGACGCGACGTGACGACAGAACAGAGGGTAAGATGGACGGTGGAGATACGGAATACGAAGGCGAGGGAAATATGAGAGGGAAGGGTGGGCAAGGCGCAAAAACAAAAGGAGGAAATAATAAGAAAATCCCCTTTCATCAAGGATTTATGCAACCCGCGTTGCTCGGTCGTGGATGGAATAACAGGAATGAATATAGCAGAGCTACACTGGGTTGTCGGATTGTCAAGAACATCCCCTGATCGGGCTCTTGCCAAATTCACCCCCGGATTGCCGCGCGCGTCGAGCTTCCCAAATTGCTCAAGACCATGACGGTGTGATAAAGTTCAGGAGCTCCTCATCAATAAACCGAAATGGAAAATCTGTAAAATTAAAAACTAACTGACATCTGCGCTAGTCTTTTTTAGTCTTGTTTGTCTTTTTTTTACTCTCAAAAAACAAACCCACCAGAGGAAAAATGATAACCTTGATACTTATATGAAATAGTTTACATTGGTATATACTTTGTCTCTCCATGAGATTTAAGGCGATAGTCACGGATGAATGAAGGACCATAGTCGGATAACTATTCGGTCCTCGCTGATACTTGCACTTAGGCGGGGTTGTAAAAAATGTGAGTCGTGTGAAATGACCGAACGAATTTCGACCTGAAACGTCCTTATTTTTCAATGGAATGTATAATTTGAAGAAGAAAGCCGATGACTATATTCTAAAGTGAAAAAATTCTTCATAACTCAAGATCCCGCATTTTTCTTTTTGAAGAACAATAAACGAATATCATGGCTTGATATGTTTACAGAATACTCGTGTTAGGGTAAAGCGACTAAAAGGATAGGAAGAAAAATTAGCGAATTGTTTTATCTTTTAGAGCATGAATATTTTCACAAGATAACATATTTGAAATGCGACATTTTGAGAATTGCATTTTCAAAGTTTAGCCACCGAGGTGCTTATTCCCTGGGCGCAATGCTCCCATTTCCCGAAACTAGTTCCGAATTCCGAAACTTTCGAGATTTTCCTGAATTTTTACCGGATCTTTTGAATTTTCCGGAACTTTCTCGGAAATTTTGAATAAAATCTGAAAGAAATCCCGGAACTTTTGACGAGCATGGAATGGGAGCACTGCTTGGGCGGTAAAACATCATCTGTTTGACGTAATACCGAGATACCTATCGAGGGCTCTTGAAAAATTATACAACGGATTTTATCTTCGATCTGGCAAAGCGGCGGCTGGAAAACAGGTGGAAAAGGAGGGGGGCACGGCGTGTAACTTGGAAAATGACCCAAGAAAAGTTCCCTGAGAGGATCGAAGCGGGGGAAACCGGGAAAGTAAAGATAAATATCTGAGGCGTTGAGAGTGCGAGAGGAGGGGCGGCGTTCAGGGTTGTTTCCAAGATTATGGCGTAATATTTCACGTCGACGGACTCGACCAATAGGGAGCCTGCTTTTTATTAGATCCATAAATTCATCATATCACTGCGGGCGTGGGTCGGGTTTGCGCTTCCATTGGACCGTTGCGGGCCGGCAACCCCCACGTCTCACGGTCACCCCCTCTCCCTTTATTTTTCTTCGAAAATTCATTTATTTAATTTATTAATATTGGACCTTCCCGGGCACCGGATTGCTCGACGGACAGTGGGTGAATTTTGAACCGAGGAGGACCAGGAAACCGCAGCGAGAACCTCACAATGCATAAAATGGATCGAGCTTTACACTTCGGAAATACGTTTTTTTTTTTTTTTCAATAAAAAAATAAGGGGTCCACTCACTGGTTGCCTCGAGGGGACTCTAAGAGAAAACCAAATTGCATTTGCTTCTTTCTCGGAATTATTCGATTATTTTCTTTTATAAGGGGGATCCAAGTTATTGAAAAATTTAGAAGGAAAAAAATCATGATTTTTGAAGAAATTTTGCATTTTCTTGTCAGAGGCGAACAATTTTGCTTGCTCTCGTTTTTTTGTAACTTAAAATTGTTAAATGAAAACTTTTCTTCGTGTGAAAGAATAAAGTACAAAATTACAATCAGACCTCTTGTCTCCCGGAAAAAGTGGTTTCTTTCTATTAAACTCAAACCGAATACTTACATGCTGAGCCGTGAGTGCTCTGGTTTGGCAGTGTGCCTTGATTTCGACCTAAAAAAAAATCAACGTTTATGTCGAGGTAAATAAGGAAAACTGATTTCTCCGCTTGAAACAAGCACTACAGCGATCAGCATATCAAATTATAATGCAACAGACGAATGTGCAGTACTTTATGCAGTTTTAAGATAACCGCACGGTTTTGATGATACGTCCATTTAAAGGCAGGCCCTTAATTTAATGTTAAATTACCCGATTTTCTGCGGGTTTTTTTTCTTAATGTACATGCAACACCAAGAGTCTCTTAATACCGAGAGTTAAAACAACCCCCCCCCCTCTCATGGAATCACAAACGGGAATAAAGATTACACAAATTGAATGTTGAATGTAAGCCTAAAAAAACCATTTTCCGATGAACTCTGAAGTACATAAGAGCGCGTATATTCTAGGTTTCATCTAATGATGGCTCAGTTTTAACATCTACCGCTCCAATTGATTCGTTGTCTCCAAAATCCCGCGAGTCGCCCTGCGAGCGACGCGTTGGCCTGTCTTCGATCTTCATTAACAGCCGAATAATAATTTATAAGTTTCTGTCTACCTTTTCCCATTGATTTTTCCGTCTTTTAATTATTTTCACTTTTCCTTCTTCTTCCGTTCTTCAAATTCTATCTGATCATAATTTATGTTAACCCAGCTTATGGGAGGGATTTCAGAGTGCTGAGCCTCTGTCCCGCGACCCGAAACTCACGAAGTATTTTTTAACAATGCAGTTCAATATTGAACCTGATAATTCAATTGTAGCCGGTTTAAAATCAAGTCCGTACCAGAGTTCGATAGAGTGGAGCGCGCATCTTGAGAGGGACGTACTTGGTTTTTGTAACCCCTTAAATTGATAGTTCCTTTCTGTACCTTTTGAGATTTGAAATTGATGTAATTCTTTTTTCAACTTCAATACTGTTCGTGGATCCTTAAATGACATGCATCTGACCCAAGTAACAATATTGTCCTCGGGATCCCCGAATGGTGGACGGATGGAACGTAGCTTTAATTTCATTTCAGACCTTTAGCTTTAACTGAATGAGGTTATGCTGAAACGAACGTATTTTGGACTTGACGGACTCGACGATTTTGGAGTTTTCATAAC